GGAGTGAATGCATCACAGATAATGTAGACTCATTTCCATGCGTCTAAGCCAGGGGTCAGTGAGAACGCTCCCGGAGTCCAACTCAGAGGTGTGTGCTTCCCGGCTTTGCTGGGAACAGAGCACAAGTGAAATTGATGGAACCGGAGTTTCGCTCAGATTTTAGGGGCTCCCAAGCTCTCTGGGAACATGACCCAGAGGTGGAAATTGTGGGGACCAGAATAGGACTGTAAACCCATCTAATCATGTATTCCTTGAGTCAGACTAAAGAGCATACCCTTGGTGTTTTGAGTCAGTTTCAGAGCTGCTTGAAAGTGGCAGTGATGGTTCAGGATTCCAGCTTCCTCCACACACTCGGTGGAGAGTGATGTTTCCTGTGCCAGCCTCACACCACCAATTAACTACCTTTTGTTTTCCCCACTGGCGAATCCTCTGGATGAGTCTTTTTTTTCCCCTTCTCTCTCACTGAAGGATTTCCACAGCCCCTCCTTGTTTCTGTGAAAAGCAGAGGGAGCCTCCGTTCACAGCGTAGACCCCGCCTCCCGCCCCACTGCAAGTCCCAGTCCCTCCCATGGCCGTCCCTCGTAGGGGCCTCCTATCACCTAATTTCCATTTCCACCCCAACACTAGCAGTGATGTTATCTTCAGGGCCATGTTTCACAAGTTGTTGGGTCCGAGTTCTTTTTTTTCTCACCTTGTAAGAAGGATTAGACTCACAGGAGTGATGGGGAAGCACAGAGCTCCCGTCGACCTGCAGATGCCGGGCCCTCTTCCTGTGGTGCGGCCCCTGTGGGTACCTCCCTCCTTAGGGAGACTCCTCCTGGCTCCTGCGAGCGCAGCCCAGGCGGAGCTGCTGTCACTCAGTTGCAGGTACGGGGTTCCCCGAGCTGTCAGCCACGCCCCCTCACAGCACGACCTGCCCAGTTAGGTATAACCTCATACGTGAGTCACCCGCATCGGAGGAGCCAGAGTGCGATGAAATACCATGTGCTTGACGCCGAAACTATGTGAGTGACAACAGGGTTTGTTTTGCAGTGTCAGGGATGCTGCAGAATCAGGCAGCACCCATGCAGGCGCGCTCCCTGAGTTCTCTGGGGAGGGGTGTGGAGGGACGCAGGAGAGAGGATCCGGGGGTGTTCCGTCCACCCTCCTGTCCCCCCGGAAGCCCTGTATGGGGGGTGCCACCGTTCCTCCCCCCACCCCCCCGACCTGGGAACTGGTGTGTGTCAGCCGCAGCGGAGAGCACCACGTGGTCTAGGTGTACCTTGGCAATGGCAGCACTTGAACTCACCATTTTCTCCTCCTAATTTCTAAGCTAATTGCTGAGGGCCTTTGCTACATTTTTAATATGTTAAGAACCTTTCAACAGCTGGCAGCTCTCAAACTAATGCAAGTGGTGGGGAAGTGCATTCTTTGGATGGGCAAGTTGCCTCGTGTTGTGCCCGGCCCTGGCGGGTGCTCAGTTTCAGTCCCCAGGAGGGCGGGGATGTGACTGTCCTTCGTCAGCGGCAGCGGAACCCAGAGGGTGTGAGCACAGGCTGCAGAGTCCCAGCTCTACTGTTTTCTCGCCATGGGACCTCAAGCAAGTCAGTGCTCAGAGCATCCCCACCTGTAAAAGAGAATTCCACTAGTACCTCGTCCACAGAGTCGGTGTTGGCACTGGATGAGTTAATATAGAGAAAGCACCTGTTATTGTTGCTGTTGAAACTACTATTAACAGCAGCAGCAGCAGCAGTGGCCACGTGCCGTCCCCACCCCTTCCCCGCAGGGCTGGCCGCTGATCCCCGTGTAGCAGGTATTCAGGCAATAAAGCCAGGGTTCCCATAGCTGACGGGTCACTCCCTGCCACAAAACCAGCTGTCCCATAATGTGTGCTCTGTGGCTTTTTTCTTCACCAAGTCTACCACCGGGCAACTGTCTCTATCGGGTTTCATTCTCCTAAATATAGTCCAGCCTCATCCTGTCCTATCGTCAAATTCCCAGGGTGTGTGACTTAGGACAGGAATGGCAGTTGAGAAATCAGCCTTCGTATCCTCTTGCAGCAAGATAGTCTTCTGGCATTTGGTCATCTCTGAAGGTAGGCCGAAAAAGTCGGCTGCGGGGCACCTGGCTTTAGGGCCCGATGCAGGTGTGGGTCAGGTTCCTTCCCAAAGCAGCAGGGAAGGGAAGGTGACCCCTCTGCCTTGCTTCACCCCAGCAGTGACCAGCGGACATACCCACTGGCAGTGGAGAGTTCGTGTCTGTATCCAAGAGGCTAGCCTGGCATTGGCTCTGGGTGTCATGGGATGCTTTGGGAAATTTGATTAAAATGTGAAAAGGATGCTTCCCAGTTAGTCGCAGAGCTGTAAAGAGTGTCTGGTGTTACACAAAAGCCAGGACCAATTGTCCATGCCACTGGGCTATCTCTTGAAGGAACAGTTTGAGACATAGTCGGCCGGGAGACTTAACGCCCTGTGTAGCTGAAGGTTCAGCTCTGTCTGATGTGGGATAGATTAGTGCTGGCTTGTTGCCTCTCAGAAGGATGTTAAGGGTTCCCTAATGCAGTGGCCTTTCTGCGTTGCTCTTTTTTTTTTTTGGCTGCACCACGCAGCTTGTGGGATCTTAGTTCCTCAACTAGGGATTGAACCCGTGCCCTTGGCAGTGAAAGTGCAGAGTCCTAACCGCTGGACTGCCAGGGAATTCCCCTGCATTGCTCATAATATGGTTTTCATGTAAGGGAATTAACTGGTCCATTGTTTTCCCGAGAAAACCAGATGGCTGCGCGGCCATGTTCACAGGGACTTCTGAGATCTGTGCCAAGCTTATTAGCATTTGCCAATCTCACAGAAAAACAAAGAAGGCCTTACCTAGAATGCTGTATGTTTTTTTCTTGGTAAGCGGGCTTCTGATGTAAAGAGCCTGAGCGGGCAGCCCATGTGTGACTTTGCATACATCTGTCATTCTCCGGGCGGGGGCAGCTCAACCTCCTGCAGCCCCGCTGCCCACAACTCGCCCTGTCACGATCGCAGACTTTCCCATCCACCGCAGACTGTGTACTGAACCCACATATCCCCCAGTGAAGCACAGCTCCAGCTCGGAGAGGCTGACTCACAGCACTGACACGAAAAGACAAACAGAAATCTGACTTGCCATGTTATCCATCCAACAAAAAAACCACCCAAGGGTAGAGGAATAGATATTCATCACGTCCCAGCAATTCAGCCAGGCCTGTGAGTTCAGTATTTCTAGGTGGATTTAGAAAACCTTTCCTCGGCAAAGCAGAGTCCTCCTCCTGACAGCTCTTTTCACCAGCAGGCCAGCCTCTCTGGGTTAGAACAAAGGGAATCCCGCTTATCTGATTTGGGCCGGTAGCCGATTTTCTCTCTCTCCAGTGGTTTGTGTGCCATTGTGGAAGTTTGAATACTTTTCCATAAGTTAAACAGAACTTTCTCTTCATGCTGCCTGGATTTGCCTTTATCTGTAGTCAAGCTTTGGCTGCTGAGGTGGCCTTTGCCCAGGTTTAGCATGAGCAGAATAATACCATCAGCTTGAAAAGAGATTCAGGAGATGATTATGGGATGATTCAGTAGGCTTGTCACCAGAGAATGCAACTGTTTATGAAGGGCACGTAGTTTGTTTTTGTTTTTGTTTTTTTACAGAATTTCTATTTTAGCAGCTGTGTGCCTGTGTGTATATTACAGCATCTACAATAACGAAACATTGAGAGCACTTCTGTTAGTGTCTCGCTTCTTCCCAGTATCGTATTTTTCCAGAATGTTCTTTTGGTTAATGAAGGTTCTCTGAAAGGGGCGAGGGTGAGAGCCTTACCTGCAGTATAAAGTTGAAAAGGAATATTTTAAGGAAAGTGTGGTTTGATTTGAATTTCAGCAGGTAGGGGAAACCTACTATTTAAAATGCATTTGGAAACTTCAGCCTCCCAGATGTGGGTGGAACGTGTTTTTATTTTCCTCATTGAAAAACAAGGGGTGGGCTTAGCCAAATTTCTTGGTTTTGCCAAATCCATCTGTGCAGGCAATGTAGTGTATAATTCAATGAGTGCCTTGGGGATTACTCTCAGGCATAATTGTGGCAATTCCAATATTTAAAGGTGAACATGGTATGATAAAGGGTGAGTGTTCACATGTGATTTTTTTTTAAGAAACCACAAGGCTATGGGAGACGTTGATTCACCCATCGATGCTAACCAGGCAGCTGCCATGACCCAGCACTGACGTAGCTCTAGTCACAGAGAGAACGGGCAGTGTGGCCCCTGACTCACAGAGTTGGCGGTCCAGAGTGGGAGGAACAGTAGGGGCTTCTTCAAGCACGTCTCCTTGATGAGCCAACCCAGGTGATTGTTTTCACAGAGCGCATTGAGAGCCAGGATCAGCTGGGCCTCGCTAGGCTCAGAGGCTTGGCACCACCCTCCACCCATCACGTGGTCTAAGTGGGTCACGTGCCTGTGTTCCTACTCATTTTGAAAACATGTGAAAACCACTTCTGTCCCCTCTGGGGATGATGTGAAGATGAGTACAGTTACGATCCACTTTTGATTTTTCAGAAGTAGAATATTCTGTTTGTCCCTTCTTGGTCTGCTGCTTTTCTTACCTTCTTTTTCTAGCCATCGCTAGGACTTACAGGAGAAGACAGGCCTGGAAAGAGGACGGTAAACTCAGGCTAGACATGCTGCTCAAGGATAAGCATTGTAGGGTAGGGTACCCATGGCTGACACTGAGAGGGCGAATGAGTTTAGGGGATGTCGGGTTTCATCGTCCTCTGGTCCACAAAGTCCAGGCTGTCTGCAGTATATTCATTCCTTTGACAGAATGCTGTATACATGCATGGTGACAGTAGTACAGGTAGTAGAATACTTGCCGTTTACTGAAAGTGATCAGAATCTTCTGGTGACATCTCTGTGTTTGGGGAGGTACCAGTAGATGTCTCAGGGATGCAGAGGGTGACAGTTTCAGAATGCTGATCTTTCATTTTCGGGAGGCTGTATATCATTTTCTTTTTCTTTATAGAATGAAGTTGGCCTACTGGAGTTCTTCCAAAATGTGATAAAGGAAACTAGGGCAGAGCCAAAAAAAGTGACTAGTTGGGTCCTCAACACTTTTCTGGGCTTTTTAAAGCAAGAGAACCTTGCTGTCAGTGAGAGGTGAGTGGGGTCTGGGGGGCGCATCCTCCTTTCTGGTGAGCTCTGTGTGCAGAAGCAGTTGACACAGGGCAGGGCTGGTGTTCTGCCCTCCTTCTTCCCCCTCAGGATCTCCTGACGAGACACAGACATCCCCTGTGCATGTCAGAGTCTAAAGCTGTCCGCCATCCTCTTCACATCTGAAAGCTCATTTGTTCCGATCTCTGACCATCCACGCTGTCCTTTGTACTGTGCTGGGCTGGGGGCCTACAGATGAGTAAATGAGGAGTTTCCTACCTGCAGGGCATCCAGACTGTAAGAAAGCAGACAGTCAGCTCAGTACGATCCCGTTACACCACAGGTGTCTTCAGGCCACCATGAATGCACAGAAAGGGGACCTGCACCGAGGCTGGGGCGTCAACCAAGCTCTCCCTCAGGAGGGAGAGCGAGTTTCCCTTAGAGACCAAGCCCTGAGGAGTGGCCAAGTGGAGGGAGGGTTCCGAGCATTCTGGACCATAGATGCAATTGTGCGACACTCAGAGACAAGAGGCGTGGTGGGCTCAGGAGGCCCAGAAGCTCCAGGGTGCTCGGGAGGGAGCAGGGGAGCTGCAGGGATGGGCAAGGCCACCTGGGAGGCTTCACACGCCTTTGTCGGCAGCTGTCAAAGGCCTGAGAGCACACGTTCACTCCAGTTTCCCTCTGGGGGGATGGGATGGAAGATGGAGCCGAGGTGGGAAGCCCAGTTGGGTACCTCTTACAGGAGCGCCCATGCGAAACGCCCCGTGCCTGGGCCCGAGTGTGGTGGACCAAGGTGCGGACAATGATCTCAACCCCACATGACTCCACCTCCTTCGTGTGGGCTTGGGGCGAGATGGAGTGGAGACTTCCAACCTGGTGGGAGGTAAAGGAAGGGGGACGGGTGGGGAGGATGCCATGTTCCCTTTGGACATGCAGGGTTTGAGTTGCCTGTGGGACAGACGTCCCCCTCGTGGGGTGACTGATAGGCAGTCAGATAAATGGGCCTACATCTGCTGGCAGGCGTCTGGGAGTGTAAATCCGAGAGTTCTCACTTGTTCAAAACTCAGCACCTGTTAATTGAGACTCTGCCCTATGCTAAGTTCTGTGCTGAGCGTGGGGAAAGCCGGTCCACAAGACAGACGCGGTCCCCATGGTCCTTACAAAGCAGCGAGTTGGGTGCCCTGAGAAGGGGGAGAGAAGAGCTGAGCTCCCTGCTGAGTGAAGGGTGAGCAGGGCCCAGCAGGTCAAGTCCGGCACGCGCTCCAGGCGTGGAGAGCAGCGTGTGCACGTGGCTCGAGGGGAGCCCAAGCGTGGCATGTCGGGGAAGGCAGTGCACGGCCCAGTATAAGTGGATCGCGGACTCAGCAATGTGTAGACGGTACTGGAAGCCGTTGGAGCAGGTGAGAGCTGTCGGGGAGGATACCGTGTGACCGGGCCTGAGATTCCCTGGACCACCCAAGGAGCATGGGCAGGGAAGGAGGGACAGAATCAGGACCATGGGTGTCATAGGAGCCAGAGAAAAGGAGAGTGTGAGGAAGGAGAGAACGGGCAGCAGGTTTAAAAGTGGGTGTTCATCAGGGACACACAGGCAGGTGGCAGGGCCCTGCAGGGGCCCTGCGGGAGGCCAAGCTGTTCTTGGGGAGCGTCGTTGCTGCAGCAGTGCCCACGGCCATATGGGGAAGCAGAGCCGGGGAGACAGGCATGTGCTAACTGATATGTGAGTCCAAAGAGTCATCTGTTCAGAGAAGTTACCCCTGTGCAATGCTGGCTTCATGTTCGGCCTTTTGCTTGCAGTGTGTTTGCACAGGTACCAGCGTGGCCATGTGGCTCTGTTTCACCTCCTCACGTGGCTTATTACCAGCCGTGACCTTGGATGAGTCACCCTCAGTGCCGTCACTGTAAATGACGGTGATAGTGCCTGCCTCCAAGGGTTTTTGAGAGGAAAACACACGGCGCCCATGGGCCCTTAGTGTCCATTTCCTTCTCTATTCCGTGCTGGTATGTGAGGCACCAAAACGATGCCCCCCGCCCCCAGATCCCCAAACTCCCATGGCACCTGTTGCCTGTTTGTCTTTCCTTCCTGTCCTCTCCGGTTTGACCTCTCTACTCAGAAACTTCAGTCTTCACACTGAAAAGCCCGAGCCCATTCAGGCAGAGTTGATGGAGGAGGTATAGCTGTACCAGAGCCTGAATGGCTCTGGAGAGGTCTTGGTGAAGGAGGCTCCCGGTGACATCTGTGGGGAACCAGGGCGTGGGGATGGCGAAGAAGCAGCAGCTTTGGGGAGCGAGGGGAGCATAGCTGGGAGGAGCAGAGGGTGGAAAATGGCAGAAAAGTACAGTTGACCATATGATCGGGGTCGAGCCGGAACATGGAGGGTGTGGAAAGTCGCAGGAGTTGAGCCGTGAATCCGGCACTGGCTGTAGAGCACCCTCTGTGTGGAGCTCGTGGAGAGCCAAGCAGGACCCTGGCCCGGCCCTTAAGAAGCTCTGTGTCCTGGGGAGGACTGGACTTGCGCACTAACGCTTTTACCTCAAGGCAGAATGGGGTGCTTCTTGTTTAGAACTACTCACAGTGCGGTGCAAGCAGAGAGGGACGAGACCACGTTCACCTGAAAGGCTCCGGGGAAGGAGTGGTTGGAGCTTTGGGATGAGATCTAACTCTTAGCTTTAAAAAGCGTTTTCCATGTTGCTGACTGATTGCTAGAGTCACTGAATTTCAGTCTCAGCAGAGACCTGAGCTACCTCTGGTTCAGCTCTTTCATTTAGCAGAGGAGGAACTCCAGGCCCCGAGAGGTAAGGTGCACAACTGCTCAGACCGGAAGCCAGCCCCCCGACTTCCAGACCAGTTTCTCTGTATGTTGATCTGTGACATGAGGGGTTTGCTAACAACCATTTTAGGAGCTTCTACAGGAGCTGAGATTGATAAGTTAGCCTGTCAAGGGAACTTGGAGCCTCTGGTATTTATCCAAACAATTCGTAAGCACTAGAGTCTTAAGAACTCCAAGGGGGCTTCACCTGGTTGCGCAGTGGTTAAGAATCCGCCTGCCAATGCAAGGGACACGGGTTCGAGCCCAGGTCCGGGAAGATCCCACATGCTGCAGAGCAACTAAGCCCGTGCGTCACAACTACTGAGCCTGCGCTCTAGAGCCTGCGAGCCACAACTACTGAAGCCCGTGTGCCTAGAGCCTGTGCTCCGCACCAAGAGAAGCCACCGCACTGAGAAACCCACTCACCGCAACGAAGAGTAGCCCCCGCTCGCCGCAACTAGAGAAAGCCCGTGCGCAGCAACAAAGACTCAACACAGCCAAAAATAAATGAATAAAATGAATAAATTTATCAAAAAAAGAAAAAAGAACTCCAGGGGCACCAAACTCTAAATAAAAGTGTGCTTGGTTATTCCAAAGTCAAGTAAGGAGGAAGCTAAGCAGCAGTTCTGTGCTAGAGTTTATGTAGAACAGGAACTGAACAGGAAGCAAGCTCAGTGTAGCAGCTCTCACAGTCTACACAGTTCAGACAACCATTGCCTGGGCTGCATATACCAGCCTCACCTTGGAGCAAACATTAACCAGTGAGCAACCTCGGCAGCTGGGCTAACGTTTCCAAAGCCTAGAAGGGCAGTAGCTGCAAAGCTAGCAGTAGTCTCATGATGACACCAGGCAAGGGACACTCCAGAGATCACGTTGTCAGGAAGTGATTTTGCAAGTGAGCGTTCATCTTTAAAGAGCTCTCAGAAGACTGGTGTTTAAAGGGTCTGGCCAGAAAAGTGCTTGTTGAACTTGGCTTTTTCATTATTTTGAGCATATTGCTTTTTTGGTTAATAACTCATAACTATTCATACCAGGTTTGATTTAGTTAGGAAAGTGGAAGTTACTGATTCCCTGACCAAGTGTTTCCTGGTAATACCAGGCAGGTGCAGCTGTCCAGTTGTTCACTCCAGCCGAGGGCCTGAACTTCCGGGTCAGCTGCGGGCAGCAGCTCCTGAGGCACTAGGAAACCAGGGAAGGCCTTTGAGCTGAGAAGGGGCTGAGGCTGACAGGAGGATTAGTCCGGCAGCGTGATATGCGGGGCAGCGTCCAAGAATGGGATGTAGGAGGTGGGAGCCTGTTAGAGGTCACAGCCGCAGGCCTGTTTGTATACAGCCTGTGAGCTAAGGATGATTATTACCTCGTATATTTAGAAACCAAAACAAAGAAGACTACATGACCGAGACCAGGTGTGTCCCACGGAGCCTTAAATATTTGCTCTCTGGCGCTTTCCAGAAGTTTGCCGACCCCTGGCTTGGAACATGTGTGGGGAGACAGGAGCCCAGGCCACTCCTGGCCAGTGGGAGGAGGTGGACGAGGGCAGTCAAGGAGGGGAAAGAGACTAGGAGGCCCAGGGAGAAGGGGTTTTCTCAGGGGGTGCAGCAGGGTGGGAAGCTATTATTTTTGGTAACTAGTGAGGGGAGGTGATTTTAAAAGAACAGCATCTGCAGAGGGATAGGGTTGGGATCCAAACAACAAGGGCAGGCAGAGAAGCCACTGATGCTCTTCATTGGTAAAAAAAAAAAAAAAAAAAAAATTAATGATAATAATAAGGTCAGGCAGAAGCAAGTGACTGCAAGATCACTTGGAGGCACTGTCAAGACAGGGCAGATCTGAGCACTCGTGAAGGTGTGGGGTTAAAGCCGCAGGAGGGAGGAACCCGGCATCCGAGTAGGATGCGTAGCAGTGGCAGGGGATGCAGGCAAGAGCATGGGTCCAGGGGGCTGTCTGATGGAAGAGGAGGAGGCGGACACCCTAGAAAATTCTGAGGCTTCCATCAGCGGGTGACCTTATGATGCGGGAGGTGAGGGTCCGTGCTGAGAAGGGGCGTGGGAAGGAGACGCTCTAGAACAGCAGCATGGATGGGAGTGCCAGGCAGGGGCGCTGGGACGTTAGCGAGATGAACAGAAGGATTGCTGAGCAGCCACCTAGGTGTCCATGTCTCCCTGTCTTTCTCCGCGAGCCTCTGTGTCCCATGAGCTTGGGCCTAAAATGAGCTCGGGGGTTGCGACAGGCGGCACATTTCACAGGAATGGGGGTGGCTGTGGAGGTGTCAGGGTGTCTGCTTCCAGAATCCAGGCTGGAGATGGAGTCGTGATCCCATAAGAGCTCTAGGGGACTGGGTGAAGTTGGAAGGCTTGAGAGATGCCATTTCCCCTCGTCTGCAGATGCGCCGGGCTGGGGATGGGAGACTAGCCTTCCACGTCGGGCTCTTCTTTAGTGGAGACACACCCACGGCCCAGAAACCAGTGTGATCTGACAGCAGCCAATCAGTAGCTTGTGCTTCTGCTGCCATTCTGTTCCAAATAGGTCGATTTATTTATTTAACCTGATGAGGGGGGCATTTCAAGGCCAGGGTGACAGGTCCTGATCTTTGTCATCGTCTTACTGGAGGTGAGCCCTGGCACAGCTGGAATTAGTAGACACAGTGTCCCAGCCATCCCTGTTGCGGGGAAGGAGTCTGTGACACAGATACTGCTGACCCACTATGTGTCGAGCACTGTGGGTACAAAAGGGCGATTGAGAAATCCCAAGTCAGTGGAGATATTTCATGGTGAATGAAGGTCATTGGATGAAAGGCAAAGTATTTTTAGTCATGCTGTACTCTATTTCTGTCCTTCTCTTTCCTCACATCCCTTTATCATCAGCTCATGTGGGAGTGGGGACCCTTTCGTTTGCAGGCTTGAGAAATCTAGTTCAACCTCAGTGCTTATTACAGGTCCTACACACAGTCTACACTCTAATTGGCCTTTATGTTTACTAGGATCGTAGAACATCCAAGAAACCCGAATTTTTTTGTTTAACAACCTGGATTCTTTATTACTTGTCAATAGGGTGGGAAGTTAGAGAAAGGGTGTCTGATTTCCCAGCCTTCTGCCTCTCGTCCTGCTGAGATTTAATCAGGGTGGTCCAGACGCTCTGCAAACCTAATATCCTCTTGGAATGATCTTTTATCCATACTTCATGATAAGCAGACACTTGCAGGACAGTGGGCCACCTCTGTGTGTCAGCTGCCTCACGTGAACAGCCCTGTGAGGTTTCACTGCACCTGAGTCAGACCTGGTGCACTTGCACTCGGTTGGCCTGGAATTCCGGGAAATTGGCGTAGGGGCTAAGCGGTAGTTTCCTTTTTACTATCTAGGAGCTTAACAAAGAAATTAATAGTGAGTGATGGGAACTGAGACTTAAACAGAACGTGTTTTCAAGTAGTGTTAAACGTTCCAGAGGCTTTCGTTTACACAGACACACTAACGTGCTATTTATAAGTCGTTCCAGTCTATTTAAAACTGATCCCCTCGTGACCTCAGACAGACAGCGTTTCATTAGCCTAGTTGCTGCATGTGTTTAAAAGTAGCAAAACCGTGCATTTTAAAAGAAACAGTCTGTGATTCAGTCTTTTCCACTAATCCTAGGCACTCACCGCCCCCCTCACCCCAGAATGTCAATTATTGACACTTTACGCCTTTGGTTGCCTCTCGTCCTTTTATATCATGGGATCTTGGCAAATAAGTCCCTTCCTAGAAGTGTAGGCGTAATGAATTCCAGGCCCTTCTGGGAGAAGCTGTTGAGAGCCTGCGGGAGAGAGCAGTTTGTGGATGCCCATGAGGATGGCTCACGACATGGCGTCACTGCGTCCCTAAAAGACAAGTTCTTACGATTAAAAAGAATTTATATTTGCACAAAAACACTCGAAAACTGGCCTTGTTAGCTGTTTTGTTTGAAGTAATTTTTAGGCTGATCTTTCAGTCGAAAATATTTAATTACTGGGTTTTGGTTTTTTTCTCTTCTCGTCATGGTTCATGAATTTTGCAGCCACCTCCTTTTTTTGACTAATTAAACTGAGCAGTTGTCTGTCACTACAACTTCTGCCAAACTGCGGTTATTGTTGGGTAGTAAAATAAAGAAAAACCACACTGGTCACAAAAATATGTTCTAAAGTACAAAATAACTAAATAACATAGAGCCTAACTGGCCTGTTACTTTTATTCCTGGGTGTAGATTTAATTATTCAAACCTACAAAATCACGTGCTTTGATTTTAAATAACCATAAATGCATACACCGACAGAGTGAAATGTACATGTTTCTTCTCTCCTTTTTGGGGCTGCTAGTCCTGTCACACCCTCTGCCCTGGCTGAGCTGCTTGACCTGCTGGACAGGAAAGCCATCTCTTCATCCGCAGCTAAACAGGTATGTCCCCACCTCCCAAAGGGTCCAACCACCCTGCCAGCCCCGTACATGTTTTATGTGAAACTCAAATGCCATCACTAAGTGCGTTTCATCTTTGAAGTATTAAATGCTTCTAAGTGCTATTTTTATACTGAGAGGTAGAAACATTTTATTTAGCAAATGAAATAAAGCCAGTACTATGTATGACGTAGGTAATTTGCTTCTCATCTTTGCTAACCAGACGGCGTAGTTGTTTGGCTTTGCCTGGAATGTTTCCCAAACATTTGTTTACGTGAAAGGTGGGCCCTGAAGCTCCCGGGGGCTTCGGCCTGTGCGCTTCCCCCGTACCCTGTGTGGCCGACACTGCTCCCTGGCCCTTGTCCTCCCTCTCCCATCCTCTGCAGCCTCCCACCCAGTACCAGAGGCTCCTTTGTCTTGTCACGTGGTTGCCCCTGAAAGTCAGTCTTCCAGCAAGAAGGGTGAGGCCAGACAGACTGCCTCCCACTTAGTAGATCAAATTTTACATACAGGCCCAGTGTGTGAAACCCCAGAAAAATAGCATCCTCATCAAAGGCGGCCTTCCGCCTCATCTCCAGCCCCACCTGACAGTCTCAGATGGGTGCAAGGTCCCTGGAACTCAGAAAACACTTACAAATAAGCGCCCAGAAAGATAAAGAACACCAAGGCGGCCGCCTGATCCCGACTTGAGATATCACAGCTGTCAGTTCTTCAGCCAGTAACTTAATGTTATTTTAATGGTGCCTTTGGCATTTAATATTTATACGTGTCCTCAGTAGTGGCAGGTTACATAGTGAGGCTTTGGAAAAGCGGCTGCTTTGGGCTAATTACGAGGCACCATGGAGCATACACCCAGCTCTGTGCTGTGAAACTGGGGATAGGAACTAATAAAGGCTCTGTTTACCCACCACCAAGTGAGGCTGTCAAGTATAGGGACGGCGCCACATTTAGGAAAGGGTTTTGGTTGCCTGGATGTCAGAGGAATACAAATGTTTATGAGAGTGCTCAGCAGTAGCAGAATGATTAGATGGCCAGAGGGCAGAAAGAAACTGTATATACACATAAGAGCAAATGAATTGTTGCATTTCAAACCAAAGAGGAAAAAATCCTTCCCCTTCCTACTCCTTCTGCCCCAGCAAAGAAAACCTAGTGCAGATAATATGTTAGGTTCAGAGGGGAGAGACTAGAACTGCCGGGGGATGCTGACAGCTGGGTTCAGATACAGATGGAGACGTTTTTGGATTCTGTCTGCTTCCAGCGTGTTTAAAGGAGGTAGGGTGAGTCCTGGCTTCTGTAAGGCAATCACAGAACCAAAATAAAAATCTGACTGTGTGTCCCATGAGGCCATCTCCCTGATACACCATTGCCTTAGGGGATTTGCTTTTTAATTTTTCTACCTTGTTTTCTGTTTTTTTAAAAAATCACTGATCTTCTGGTGGAAAAAAAAACGGTATTTGTTCATTGTAACAACTTAAGTAATGCTGAAAAATATAAAGATTTTCCAATTCTACCACCTTGAAATAACTACCATTAATACTGGGTGAACGGGACTTCCCTGGCCGTCCAGTGGTTAAGACTCCACGCTTCCATTGCACGGGGTACGGGTTCAATCCCTGCTCGGGGAACTAAGATTCCACATGCTGCACGGCGTGGCCAAAAAATTTAAAAAATTTTAAAATATATATATATATATTGGGTGAGCATCATCCCAGGCAGCTTCCTGTGCACACATACAGTTAGCAGGATGGATTGTGCGCTGGGCAGACAGGAGGTTAGAAAAATAAGGCTTTTGCAAATAAGAGGTTTTAGTGTACTGTTTTTTAGTTTTATTTTTTTAAGAAGTGTACAGTTCATTGGTTTTTAGTATAGTCACAAGGTTATAACCATCACCACTGTCTAATTCCAGAACATTTTCATCACCGCAAAAACATAACCCTGCATGCAATTAGCAGTTTCGCCCCATTAACCCCTTTTACCCTAGGCAACTGCTAACCTACTGTCTGTCTCTATGGATTGGCCTAGTCTGGACATTTAAGATAAATGGACTCATATGATATGTGGCCTTTTGTGTCTGGCTTCTTTCACCTAGTGTCATGTTTTCAAAGTCCATCTATGTTGTGTCAGTACTTCATGCCTTTTTATGACTAAAGAATATCCCATCGTGTGGACAGAACCACATTTTGTCTACCATTCATCAGTAAGTGGACACTTGTGTTGTTCCTGTCTTTGGCTCTTATGAATAATGCTGCTGTGAACATATATGTACAGGGTTTTGTTGGCGCATATGTTTTCAAATTTCTTGGGGCTGTACCTATAGGAATGGAATCTCTGGGTGGTAATTGTATGTTTAACATTTTGAGGACCTGCCGGACTGTTTTCCAAATGGGCTGCACCATTTTACAGAACCATCAGCAGTGTGTGAGGGTTCCAATTTCTCCACATCCCCGCCAGCCCTTGTAATTGTCCTGCTTTTTGATTGTAGCCATCCTAGTAGGTATAAAGTCGTAGCTCATGGTGGATTGATTTGCATTTCCCTGAGGACTAATTACATTGAGCGTCTTTTTTATTTTTAGAGTCTACTGTAAAATGTAACACATAAATGTGTTATAATTATTTTTTACTGAATTTGACAGAGGGATCCAAGTAGACCTTAGGTTTTAGAAACCCTGTGAAGCAGAACGACTCTGGTTCCACTGGTTACTGGTGTTTCCTCTGACAAAACTGGAAGAGGTCCTACTAGTGACTGAATAACCAGGAGATGAGAAAGAAAGTTGACTGAGAAAATGACTCCTAAGGATGACAGAACGCAGAATGAGTCATCCTGCCCTGAGAACGTTCTGAACTCCAGAGACTCTCCCACTTTACGTCTAATTTATTATTAATCCACCTCTTGCCATCCGGCTCTCCCTTCCATGATTGTCCATTATTTTCATCCCTGACACATTTCACTGCACCTTCCCCCTAGGTGTCCCAACAGTGCTTCTGAGGTTTACAAACCTCATCCCCTCAGCTCCCTGGGCCCCAGGGGAGTTAAGAGGTTGCTGCCATGAGGCAGCCCTGTCTTTCAGAAACAGAAACTCAAAGATTATTTATCACCATGAGCAAACTCCTGGTAACTGTAGACAAAAGCACCCGGGCTCCTCTCACAGGATCCGGTTCTGTCTAATGAGGTAGCCCCCGTCTCCTCCCCTCGCCAAGGACAGGGCACACCAGACTCCCACCTGCAGAATCACAACACCCTTGCAGCTAGCATGCCAGGGTCCTGAGCCTCTGGGGACAGGGAGGCCCCGGGCGTTGTCCAGACTGCTGGCCAGCCAGGCCCCAGGGGAAATCACCCCAGATGCCTACGTGTCTCCTCTGTGTGAGCCTGGAGTAGGTGCAGACGGTCCACCGTCTCCCAGGGATTGTCCCTCTAGTGCTTCCTGTGGGACCAGGCTGGACTGGAATTCCAGAGAGATGGAAGTCGAATTTTAACATGCGAGTGTGCCATTTAAGCAATTTCCTCTTGTCTACTTTGGGGTCTACTTTAAACAGAAATCACCAAAAACCTTTTAATGTAGAAAATGTTACGTCGTGCAGTAAAACTTATGAATGATTTGATGTCTTTTTCTCCGTTTTAGTGCATCAGTTCTTTGCACATTTTCCTGTGCCCTGCTTCTCTTAAGGGCCTAGATTGACGTCTGTGCCTTTCTAGAAGAATGACCTTTCACGATACTTGCCTTTGCCCAGAGGGGCCCCCTCTCTGTCTGTCACCGCTCCCTCCCTGCCCTCTCCCTGGAACAGGTCTTTCCGCCACCCTCTGACCCTGGAAGCCCCAAACAGGCAGGGACAGGCCAGGAGCCTGTGTGCTCTCCTTTTGTCCTTCCCTCCAGATTCTTTAAAAATAGCTTTAGCTAGAGAAATGGTTGGGTAGTAGTTAGGAGGGCGTGTGCTCGGTCACCAGGAACTGAAGCCTGAGTTTCCGCCCCATGCGTCAGAGCTGGCTTCGGTGGTCGGGGTGTGATCAGGGGTCCCCAGCTTGCAGTACTCCCTACCCCGGTGGCCATTTATTAACCCAGATGACCAGCCCTGTGCCAGGACCCCCTTGTGATGTGGTCTGTCTTGGGTGAGCAGCAGCAGGCCTGGGAGGTGCACGCCTGGCCAGAAACAATTGCACTTCGATAGCACGTCCCAGGGTGGTGATTAAACACAGGCAAAAGCTGAGGATTTATGCCGCAGCAGGAGGCTGGCAAGCACAGAGCCACGATGTCTGCAGCCAGGAGGCCAGGGGAGGCCGCAGTCTGGCCTGGAGGCGGCCGGGCCCCCTTTAGTGGCTCCCGCCCTGCTGGGCTACAGCCAGGATGGCACAATCTGTGCCTTAAATAGGAACAAGCAGAGGATTGGATTCTGGAATCCACTGTCAGCCCAGGGGTGCTAATTTGGGAAGTGAGTAAGCTGATGTGTTCTAACTCTGGGAGTGGGAGAACCCTGCAGCCACCGGGCATTTGCTCCTGGAGGCTGCTGAGGTGTGCTTCCCTAGGTCACTCCTTGGTACCCCTCCCCACTCTCTCAGGGAGCAGCCAGCCTCTCTGCATGTAAAAGCATCGTCCCAGCATTGTCCTGCTTTTCCTTCTGAAAGGTGTGGTTTGGCCTTGGTCCCTGACTTTCTCAATTGCCTTTATTCTTGTTATTTTGGCCCAAGCAGATCCAACCAGTGTTTGGGCCTGTCGGGTCCCAGCTGTATGGGGTGCCAGGCAAAGGCTGACCCCTGGGCGGCCAGCTCAGCTCAGCTCTGCACTTTCAGCCACAGTGGCTGCAGGGGCCTGTGACCGCCAGGCGTTCAGCTCCTCCGAGGCCTGGGCTGCAAGCAGCGTCCACACCTGCGGGGCTTTCCTGTAAAGAGTTGCTGCGTAGAGTCTCATAAATCACTCTTGCAGGTGATTTCTGTTATAAGCTAGGGATCTGATCTCTCTTGAGATCTCCATTCTCTCTTCCTGAATGTTGGACATTTTCAACTAGAAACTTTTTTAGGAGACTCTGCAGACGAACAAAATAAACACTGGTCAGAATCTACCAGTAGGTGTTCATTTAAGTAAATCATGATGAATATTGGACTTTTTTGTTAATACAAGAAAGTACTTCTGTAATCAGTGAAACAGAAGCAGGTTACAAATTGTATATGTGCTGTGATCACAATTATGTTACAAAACAGAAAGAAAACCATGGAAGGGAAAACACTAGAATACTAACATTGGTCACCTTGAGGGGATGGGAATTGGGTGAGATTTCTGTTTGTCTTTTCTGTATTTCCTTCTTTATTTTCTACAGTGAACACGTATTAAATTTTATAATTAGGAACAATGTTTTCAAATTGTAAGTCTTATTCAAGAGAAATAAATCTATCAGGGAAAGGGGGCAGAGAAGCTCTTCAGACGCTGAGTCTTATCCACATCACAGATTGTCTGTTCTCCGGTTCCTGTGCTGTGGGCACACCATCAGTACTTCCGCTGAGAGCAGGGGAGGTTCTTATCTGCTGTGTGCCCCTCTCTCCTCAATGCCTTTCTCATTGTCTGCTGAATACACATTTGAAGAATTGAGTTGGAGGCACTTATGTTCAGTATTTTTCTAAGAGCGGGGACAGGTCTGTGTACGCGGCCAGGGCTGTGTGGTGGTCGCCAGAGTGTGCCCTGTAGGTGCGCTTTCGGAAGGATGCCCCAGAGACGCCTCTGGGCCACATTCACCGTGGGCGCCCGACAGCCAAGCTGAAGGCACACTGCTCCGGGCAGAGGGGCTCCTGGCTGGAAAGTGCTCAGTGCTGACTGCTGGCTGAGATGGAGGCTAACGGGATCCCCTGCCCTTCCAGCTCACGCTAGAGAAACAGGCACTGTGGAAAACTGCCCTGGGACACCCCTTCTTTACAAATGTCTTCCTTTTTTCCAACTTTATTAAGTTTGGGAATTGGTTATCTTTTTAAGTAGAAAAATACCCACGCCGTCAACTGCTAATTATCCTAGCCAGGTTCGGGGCCACATCCACCTGTGGGGATGGATGTGGTAAGCCTTAGGCCCCAAGGATTGTGATTTATGTTTTTCGTTATTTTCCATTCTGTGTCTTCATTATGGACCGCTCTCTCGCCCCCTCCCCGAAAAAACTCGCATTTCCCAGCAGAGGCCAAGTTTTCATGACCCCCTCTAAGTGCAGTGGTTCCCTCTTGCAGCCCGTGTGGCCCCATCCTTCACCAACATGTCACCGCAATTAATTAATTCAGTGGCACTCCCGTCAGCAGGGGCCCTGTGAGTGATCATCTTCTCACACTCCCCACCCTCCCTGCTGTTCCCTTGGTGTCGGCAAGTGGGGACGACCCGTCTCCACCAGCGTCTCCACCGGCAGGGTCTCGGGCTCTGTTCTGAGGGCGCAGCTCAGCACGGGGAGGCCCCGGGTGTGTCTGCATGCAGCTGGGAATCCACTGACTGCTCTTCCAACCCAGCAAGTGGAGCTGGCAGAAGAGCTGACCCCGCCCCTCTCCACCCGCAGGTGTTTCGGGAACTGTGGAGGAGTAAGGGCAAGACCCCAGCACAGATGGTTGCAGAAAAGAAGCTTGAACTGATGCAGGATACAGAGGCGCTGGAGCAGCTCTGCCGCTCCACGCTGGAGGCACATCCTCAAGTGGTACTTAGCCCCTCGGGGGAAGGGGGTCTTCACGCACAGCGGCAGGTGGGCTGGGGGTCGCCGGCAGAGGCCCAGGGCCAGGGCCGCCTGAGGACTCAGCCAGGAGCCCCTCTGCTTCTCCCCCTTGCAGCCCAGCGGTGCTTCCTAATAATGGTTGGCCCGGTTTCATCAATAATCCCCCAGTTATTTTTGTCAGTTTTAAGCTAGAATCAAGAGATGAAATTAGGTGACTATTGGAAAAATACAGCTTTTCCTAGAAGGAAAATCCCCCCCTGGAGCTTAATCTCATGGAGTTTGGGTTGAAGGGGGTGTTAGCAAGTTTCGACCTCCCAGGCCTGCAGCCCTCTCCCAAGGTTGCCGAGCTCTGCTTTGTAAGAGGACCTCTCTATCAGGAAGCAGCAGGCAGCACTGCCCAGGGACAGAGACAGGGAAACACTTCAGTTCCGTGCCTTTGAGAGCTGGGAAGAAAGGCAGAAGGGAAAAATTATTTGTAAATTACGGAGAAAATCCTTGACAGGAACATAGCTGGAAATCAAGTCATTCTGTGTTCTGAGCGTAGAACAAAATAGAAGAGCTAAAATGCGGAGCATCCCTCCCTCCCCAAGTCTAATCATATTGTCCAGAGATATTTTTCAGTGGGGAAAAAAATTGCTAGCATCCCTTTCAAAATGATACCACCTGCCCATCAGCTTGCGGGGACACTAACAGCTCTGTAAAGAGCTCTCGATAAGGAAAATGAGCTTGTGCAGGGTCTCGGCAATCTCCATCTTCCAGCCTCATCTGGAGTGACTGATAAAGACACACTTTTAGTTTCGGACTCAGAATGCAGCACCGCGCGCAGATACTCGCAGACGCTGTTGCCGATCAGAAGCAGGAGGTCGGGGGGGCTGGCCCTGACGCGGTGGCTGTTTGACAGGCACTCAGCGCCCCCTGCCCTGGCCCTTCCAGCCTGCCAGCCAGGCTCTCCCCGACCCAGATGCTCGGGAGCGTTGCCGTCTCGTGGCTTTGTCTTCTAGCAAACGAGTGTCTTGGCAGGGAGTCGGGGGAGGAGAGCCCGCTGAGCCCCCGGAGGGTCAGGGGGCTTCACGATCCGGCGCCCGGGTCCTGTGCACCGGCTCCTCAGCTGTGAAACGTCACAGTCCTCACTTCCTTCGAATCAGGAGGCAGGGGTAGCAGACACCTCCTTTGCCAGGAGCCCAGAAACCTCCTCCGAAGGTCACCGCCTCCCCTTTTTCCTTTTCTCATTCTATATCTAATACAGAAAAAAGAAACTGAATTTCAGTTTCCATAAACGTAAACTTGATTTAAGAATTTTAGGCGAGAGCCTCTATTTTCTCCTCTAAAATAATTTGTCTTTAAAGGTCACGGATGTAAAGAAGGGAAACCCCAGGGCCATAAACAAACTGATTGGGTTGGTCCGAAGAGCGACTCTCAGCCGAGCTGATCCGACGGTGATAAAGGAGGTGCTGGAGAGGCAGCTGTCGTCGTGACGGGTTCGGGTCCCCCTGCCACGGCCGGGCTGGAGCCTGTGCACTGACGTCCTAGGCCCCAGCCAGACGCCCCGCCCGACCTGCCCCTTGAGGTGCCACCTCCACGCAGACCAGGCCTGGCGCTGTTGCTTCATCGGCATCACACGCTTCCGGGGGAGGTGCAGCAGTGGTGAGAAACAGCAGGTCCTAGTGCGCAGTGACGCCGAGCTCAGTGCCACATGCTGTTTCAGATACTGTCACCACCCTAGGAAAACGTTTCATTCCGCAGGTCCCTCAACAAATATTTTTAAGCACATGCTAAGGGCCGGGTGTTGTTCCAGGTGTTGGGGATTAGCAATGATGACGAGAGGCCGTGATCTGGATGCAGTATTTTGTTTGCGGCGCTCTCATTAGTCTTAGTACCAGGAATGTATTCTCCCATCCACTGAGTAAAAGTGATGTTGCCCATGCAGTGCCCAGGGATCCCAGAAGGCAGAGGTCTGAGAATAAATGATTTTTTTTTTTTTGTAAAAAAAGACAACAGAAGTCTTCAAATAAATTTAATGAATAAAACTTATACTGAAACATCACATAAAAAATTAACTTACACGTCGAAGATTGTGCAGTGGACAAACCCCCCTCCCCACCCTCAGACCGAAAAGTTTTCAAAGGCGAAAAAAAAGCTGTAACATTAAACTGATTTGTTTTGCCTGGAAAGAATAAGATGGTAAGCTAGTAAATCAAAATCTTGACCTTTAATGGTAACTGTGGTACAGTTAACAGTAGTCCATGGAGGCTGCGTTGCCCTCACCCTGTTCTCGTGGCAATAATACTATTTCTCTGTCGCACTGGGGCACCCCTTTGTTCACTGCACGCCTTTGTTACCTCTGACTCACAACACTAAAGACCAGTTTTGCAAGTGCTGTTTTTTAAAAGCACATGTCAAATAAACTGTGACATAAAAGAAAATCATTGGAGGCCCTGATTTTACACTGAATTCTCTCTTGTACTAAGAAGAGTACAAACATTTCCGTCATGAACGGTGCTCCAGTGGCAGCTGGGGACCCGGAGAAGAGTCACCAACTTAGCAGCTCATGGTTCCTGGTTGCAGACGATCGCTCAGGACTTCCCTAACTAGGAGTAAAGAGAGGACTGCCCCTCTTCTCAGCCAGAAAAGCAGGGACCGGTCATCTGGTTTATTTCAGACAAGCATGAAGAGGTAAGGTTTTTTAAAAAACTAACTTTTTAAAAAATGAGTGACTTAGAAGTGTTAAGAGAATACGGTACGTTACATCACCCAGGAAGCCGCGTGCCCCTCGTGCATCCCGTTGCAGTACTGAAAACTCCTGGGCCTGACAGTAAAATATTTTCATCAGATCTCTTTTCGAGAGAGAAAGGCAGAGCCAGCCCCCACCCCCCGACCCCATGGCTCCTGAGTCTGGAATCTGACGGGATCATGATTTTGTAAGAAATGATAAGATTCAGTTTTGTTTTACAAACTCCATTTTCATCAGAGGTCTGACTTCTTGGTCATCACCCCTTACAGAAAGCACTGGACGATCTTTCCAGACCATTTTAAATCAAGGGCTTACTTAAGTGGGGTCTGGGAGGGGCGGGGACAGCCAGATGAAAGCCATTTACCAACAATATCACGTCATATGTAAACCGTCTTATGCACTGATAATTTTGGGAAAAAAATGCCATTGCTGGGGTCGGGGGTAGAGGGAGGGCGAAATGGGTAAAGGGGGTCAACTATATGGTGGCAGACAGAAACTCAGCCTTTGGTGGTGAATACACTGTAGTGTATGGAGAAGTCAAAATATAATGTTATACATGTGAAACATATAATGTTATAAACCAGTTACCTCAACACACAAAAAAGCACTCGATCTTTACAATGCTAACTGTCATCCAGCTCTGACAGTTGCTTGTTGTCTTGAAGGCCCACTTCTGAAATCCTAAAAATGAGATTGTGTTGTTGTAACTGCTCATAGAAAGAAAAAAACATATCAAAGCACAGCTCAGATATCTTACCTGGAACCTGACTAGATATTCAAAATATATGTTTATCTAACACCCTAAGAAATTCACAGAGTATGGCTCTACTTGTAACTGGGCTTCAGTAAAATACAATTTAAAATACATTTTTGCATGAGTGTGAATTTAGTCTGCTTCTCTGTTTGCTATTCAGGGGGAAATCTCATTGAAATGTATGAGTTGGCACCACAGGTGAAGCCAGTGCCATCTGTCACTGGAGCCCACACACCTGGAGGCTGGGAGGGCAACGTGCTGGAAGACTGGCTCCCCCGGGTGCCCTATGGCTTGAGGAGGAGGTTGGTTGGTCCGCTGGTTCTGGCGGGGGGGGAGGGGTGGCAGCCGCAGCACTCGGCATGCTTACCGGGCACAGGATCCGTTTTTAGCAAAAGTTCATTAAGTTTATAAAGCAAAATTAATGGACAACCTTTTGTGGGAGTCCCTCTGTATGAGGGGTGGGTGCTGCCATCCACTAGTCTTTTAAACTCTGGGTCTAGGAAGGAGCTTCTTGACTCTGTCTAGGCTTATGCATCAAGGTGAACTTCTGTTCCCATCTTTTAAGATGTAGACAACCCAGGGAAAAAAATTTGTCGTCATTTATACCAAGTTAAGGATGTTTTTAGCTGAGCTCCCTCCCTCCCTTCTTTTTGGTAATTATGGCTAATCTGGAAGAAGGCTATGAATTGTTTTCAAGTAAACAACACTCTCCTAGAGCTTTGCGTTGGTTGGTTAGTTTGATATATAGCTTACGGCCAGGACCCACAATCCGTATTGTATTTTTCATGTCTATTGAATTTAGCCACATCATTTCAAGGATTCCACAAAGGACTATTTGAAAAAAACCACTAGATCTATATGAAAGGCCATGTTATTTTACCCACCACCAAAAGCAGCATGGGAATGGCTGCCATGCCTCTTCAGCAGATTTTAGACAAATTGCATTTGTGGATTATTTGTGAACAGAGCTGACCCTCGATGGTGAGATGGAAAGCGCTGACTGAAATCCTCTCTTGTTGTCTCCCTTCGTCAGACGTCTTCACAAAAATCATTTAAGTAATATTGTCAACACCAAATAATCTCTTTTAAAATATCTGCAGGGCAAAATGGTACCTCGTTATAGGTGGGCCTTTTCTAGACTTGTCCCAGTAAAAAGTCAGCTGCTGCCCTAAGAAGCACAGACTTCTACAGCCTCAGCTCCATGAAATGCATAATCTGGCCTAAGAGCTGCCATAACCCTTGTCAGGTTCGGAAAGCACACAGTAAATCTAAGGTTCCCCAAAGATGCCTGAAATATGTATGGAATGCACGCGGGCAGACCCTACTGGCGACCTTGTTCCTTGTGTGGGTGACGGGAACAAAATTCACAATGATGACAGGGAGGGGCATTCCCAGGTAAACTCGGCCCCTGTCTTAGGATTCCAGGTGCAGAGGCCAAAGAACTTTGCCCCTGTCCCTCTGGTCCCTACAAAGCCTCAACGAAAATCTTTCACTGAAGCTCCCGTTTATCCAGTTAATGAGCTGCCAGGATGATCTGTCCTCCAAAACAAGTAATGGCCTAATAAACGCCTGAACATAGGATTTACTGAGGCAAAATTATCCCGAAAACAATTCTTAGTCTTCTGAGAGCTCTTTCTAAAGCGTTAGGCTTATGACGGTCATTCAAAAAGGACAAAAAAAAGTCAACTCCATTTTCTTAAAATGTTTCCTCCGTGATGTGATTTAAGAAATGGAGTATAAACCGGTTTGACAGTGTCCTGTCTTAAGCTGCTATCTGATGGAGAATGAGCGTTGTGTGATTTACAGTCTGATGGCTGAAGCGAGAAGGGGCCGAGAATATCTTCTTCACGACTTAAAGCGTTGTGGCCTCAGCTACAGAGGGCTGCTGTTCAGGAAGAGCTAATACCGCAAAGCTGGCTGGGACGCGAGGTGAGCCACAAATTACCCCTGCCTGGCCAGTGACTCAAAGTAGCACATGCAGTAATAGCTGTCCCGCGATAAAGTGTTTCATAAAAATGGCCAAGCGTGCCAGCCATTTCAGTAAATACACGGCTGGTAGTTAGCAATTACATTGACCCATCCCTGCGTGAGAGCTGGGTGTGCGCTGCAGACATTCACCGTCACACCGGTGACACGTCCCACCCGCGCCGGGGCCGCACTTCCCAAGGAGAGCAACCCACGCACACTGACCCACTTTCAGAACGAGCAGCCTACCCACAACCCCAAACCTCTGAACACAGCTGGAAACCCACCCACACTGACCCTGGCAACCAGGCTGATTCCGAGACATCAAAAACGACTTTCAACCCCGAGTACCATGGGCTGCCCAAAATGAACAGGTAACCTGAAGTCACGTATCCTGTCTCTAGATTCTACTCATAAGAGGATGCTCTCCTGACAACACCCTGGAGCCAGGATGTCTTAATGGATTGAAAATCAACAACTGCATCAGACCTAAGTAAAAGCCACTTGATGAGGAAAAGGTACCCCTGAGGACCGGCAGAAGAAGTGAATGCGTCCTCCCTACAC